CTGTATCAACGTAACGCAGTAAAATTACGAGATTAATTTTATAAATATTAACTATTAATATAAATAAATATTAATTATTGATGAATATTAACTACTAGTAATGAATAAATATTAATTTATAGTAATTAAATCAATTAAAAATTATTTAATTCTAATTATACATTATTAGTTAATTTTAGTTATACAATAATAATTATTAATTATTTATAAATGTTATTAATTATATTTTTTTAATTATTATTCAATATATTTAGATATCAAAAAGTAAGTATAGCAATTACAAATGTGTTTATGTAAGTTACATAAAAATTAAAGTTATACTTAAATTAATTTATAGATAATTAAAATATGCTAAATAGTTTTAATAAAATATTTAATTTAATTATTAATTATTTTTTTAAATATTAATTAATTAGGATATGTGAGTTTGACCAATTTCGTCGCTATTTAAATTATATGTAATGGTTTTTTTAAAATTATAGATTAATGTAGATTTTTTCAAAAATTTGTTTAACAAATTTAAAATTTATATATATATATAATCAATTTTAATTTTTTTTTCAAATAACATATTATATTATATTATTTAATTTTTATTTACTATTTTATTTGTATTAATTAACATATTATACTGTTAGAAATTTGTTCTATTTATATTATAAAATATTTGTAATTTACTATTTTTTCAAGATGTCATTTTTAGTAATTTTACATGCTTATAAGTTAGTTTTTGCTAAATATAAATTTTCTATCAACTTACAATTAATTTATCAGTAATCAGCTAGCCTATTAACTAGTTTGCCAAATAAAACCTAATGAGTAAATACGTTTTTAGTCCTTGTAGTTTGTTAAAAATTTCTATTTTAGTCTTCATGGTTTTGAAATTACAATTTCCATACCTATAATTTATAATTCATTACCTTTTTCATCCTCATAAATTAAAATTTATTGCTTTTTTTGTTCCTATACAATTTATTTTTGTTTCAGTCTTTCACTCTTAAAATGAGTGTTTTGGACTAAGGGACAAAAATAGAAATGAATTGAAAACCATAAGGATGAAAATCTTTTAAACCACAAGGACGAAAAACATTATTTACTCATATCTTAATATCAAATAATTTATTAATTAAATAGTTAGTATAAAGTAAAATAAATTAATCAAAAAAATGTTTTATTAAAATTTATAAAACGCTTTTGATCCAATAAATAAATCTTTATATTTATTCATTAAAAATTTAAATTATTTTGATGGTTAGTATAAAGGCAAAGTCCAAAAAAACCCAATAAACTTTAGTGTTCAGACCAATTAAGTCCTTAGACAATTTTTTTGAGCAAATAAATACTTGGACATTCCATAATCTATTAAATAACTCCTTGCTTAATCTAAAATCAAATGTCTCCCTCTCGTCTCCTTCATGCCCCCACACCACCGTCTCCCTCTCGTCTCCTTCATGCCCCCACACCACCGTCTCACTCTCGCTGCTTAACGCGCCAACACCACCGTCCCATTGTCGGTCGCTGCTGCACCGTCCTTGTCGTCGCTGCACTTTGATCTAATCAGGTTTGTTCCAACATTTTTCATTTTTCTGAATTGCAAAATAATGTTCTAAACTTCAATATCCTGTTGGTAGAGTCAACAATGTATAGCATCACATATATAGCCTGCAATTCTTAATAGTTATTATCAAATAATAGGCTACATGATGAATTATGTTAATTCCGTCTCTCATCTGTTTGTACGTGTTTCTTTTTTATTATGCTTTACCAATTTCATGAACTTTAAATTGGTTAGTCTGAACGCCTTATAATCGTTTTTCCAAATAATCAACTAGAAGAAGGCATTCTCATATATTGCTACGGGTTTCTTAAATTGTTCAATACGTATTTAAGTTGCCTACCAATAACTTTTAACATTGTATCAAAACACTACAACCGTTGGGTATCGTTCATAGAGCCAAATTTTCAGTTCTCCCACCGGTTCCGAAACGATAAAAGGAACCATCAACAATAATCACTAGTGCTAGATTCATGGTGAAGACAAATTTTAAGATTTCCCAGAAACAACCTGATTTTTGTAAGATGTTGTGAAATCTGATGTTGAGATCCAAGGATATGGAAAATGAGGAGAGGACGAGAGTGGTGCCATGCAGCTTTTAAAACTCGTTTTTGGTGAGCTCTAATAGATTGTAAAGGTTAGTTACCGTTAAACCTCATGCCAAAGATGTGGATCATAGGATCTGTAGAACCTGATGTATGGTACAAACCGTTTGGGGACCAAGACTGATTGATTAAGGCCGATTGAGACGTGTTACTTTCTTACTTCCAACCAAATTCATGGAATTTCGTCCCCTTCATCCTGATGCCAAACAGTCTTAATTGCCTCTATGAAGTACTTCACGTAACAAGTAAAAATGCCGACATATTAGCGGATAATACTAGTAAAGTAAGCAATGAAACACCAGAAATTAATGATGCAAATGAAAAATAGTTCATACCATAACCTTAAATGTATGTATTTTTTTCGTTCAAAAAATGTTTAAGGACTTGATTATTCAAAATATGAAAGTATATTGGTTTTCTTTCAAAATTTTCCACCAACAAAATGTATTTAACAGGTTTTAAAAAGTTCAATGAGTTATTTAACATGTTTTATAATATTCAAGGACTTATTTGTTTTCAAAAAAATTGTCAAAGAACTTAATCGTTCCAAACACTAAAGTTCATGTTCTAATTTTGTTGTTTATGTGTATTTAATTATTAATTAAAAAACAAAAAAAATAAAGATTAACTAAAAATTGAATTTAGGTATAAAAAAAAATGAAACATTCTTTATTGATTAATTATTTTTGTCAATTTCCCGACATTTTAAAAAAGGAAAAAGATAAATGGAAAGGGACATCCGTTGTGTTCGGCTGCCGTTTAGAATGCGAATACGGCGTTCATGAAATCTCAGTTTAGGACCCCACAAATGGACTTTTAAATTAACGGTAACCCTTCTTTCCCTTGCTATTATACCACTAAGCATATGTTGTCCCCCCTAAAAATATGATAAAATAAAACATTTTTAAAAAAACATTTAAATTGATTTTTTAATTTTCTATTTACAATTTTTCGGGATTTTTAAGTTTTTCGTAATTGATTTTTTATATTAATTATCAAGACTCCGAAAACAAATATAAACTTTTAAGGAATTATAGTTAAAGATCATTTTATCTGATGTTTAATAATTTCGTCAAACAGATTTTATGCTCGCAAAATGGATAAGGAGTTATGGGAAACATCTTCAAATGGTGGAACATGAAAGATTTCATCATATCTTATTTATCGGAGCTGATTTTCTTCGACGCTGATAGCTGTATTACGAGTTATTCAATATGCATTTTGAAAGCTATAATTTGGGTTGTTGCATTCCGCGTTTCCAGATGTGCTGTTTTGAGCAATAACCTTGTTGGTAGCACTCAATCTTGGTCATTCGATTGGTTATCTCTAGGATACAAGTATTTTTATAAATCCTGAAACTCTTAAGATTTTTTTTCAAATTCAAGGACGGACCCAATAATTTTTTAATACGGTGACACCATATAAAACGGTTGCACCTTTCACAAACCTAATTTTTTTACCTTACCACGGAGGAACAATATGGTGACACATGCCATCTAACCACCCCTCTAGGTCCGTCTATGTTTCCTAGTGCTGATGTGATCTAGTTTTTTTAGTTTGCTTTTCTTTTCGTTTGGTCACTCTTGTTTTTCGAGGTTGTTGTTGTTTGTTTTTTTGGCTTTTTTACTGGAATTTATATAGAAGTGTATATATATTACTTTTAATCAGTAAAAATAACTAAATCGAACCATCAGTAATGAAGCATAGAGATAGACAAATCTAATTTATTAACCATTACTTTCAACCCTGATTAAAATAATAAACAAATGATGTCCCTACCAACCCAACTTCTAACAAAGCTATAAACGAGTCAAATATAGGTCAAACAAAAAGTAATTTAACCCCCAATTTTTTTTAAAGTGATCAAAATTTTAGTCATATCAAGCGGTTGATCCAACTTAAAAACGTTACATAAACATTTGAATTTACCTATTTATACTTTCATGGAGCGATCAAATGCTTCTTGGGCAACTTGTCAATTTACGCATAACGACTGATCTTCTGGATGATCACTTTATGATATAAATCATCAAAGTGAACCTTCATGGTCACAAACAAGTCGAACATTTAGAAAATCATCTGATTCATTGTTTTTTTAAATAAGGTGTGTCTGAATTAGCTTACATATCTCGACTAATGACAAAGCTTTAAAAAACAGTCTAAAAGATTTCGACTAACCTTATAGAACTAGAACCAATGATCTCTGGAAAGAACCTACAAATACTCGATTATTGTTTGTTGAACTAAGAGGTTGTTTGTTTACCTCTTAATAGTTCTATTAAGAGGCAATATCTGAATCGTTAAGAGGTGAATCTTGTTTGTCAAAAAAATAAGTCTGTCTCTTAATGGTTCTAAAGCTCTCTAAATGATTTTGTATCTTGGATCTCCCTTAACCAATAAGTGCCATAATTTTATTGTACACAATTACCAAACAATTATATTTTATTTTGCATTATAATATAAAAGCCTCTTAATCATTCTGACCACTTAATCATTTTACAGCAAACTATTCAACAATTGTCCTACAATCCCTAACCCAATTCATTCTTGATAAAGGGGGGATGGAGTTAGGGTAAAGTATATTTGCTTTGATTGTAAAAATAAAAAAACAAAAAACAAAAAATAAAGGAAAATTATTTAATGAGAAGCAAGATCTATATAAAAAAATGGGGTCCCACCATTATGGTAGCTACAAATACCCAACCCTTCTTTCCCCTATTTTCACTTCACCATTATCACTTCTTCTCTCTCTCTTTTCTTGGAAAGTAACACAGCAAGCAAACACTCAAACTCCCTCTTTTTGCATCTTTCATCAATCAAGATTTCTTTAATTTCTTCAATTATATTCAAAGATTCAACAAAAATGGTGGACGTTGATCGGAGGATGACTGGTCTCAACCCTGCTCATCTCGCCGGCCTCCGACGTCTCTCCGCCAGAGCCGCCGCTTCATCACCCTCCACCCCACTTCCAGCTCGCAACAGTCTCATCTCCTTCACTTCTCTCGCCGATAAAGTTTTGACCCATCTCAAAAACTCTGGCGTACAGGTCCAGCAAGGGTTATCCGATAAGGAATTTGCTAGAGCTGAAGCTGAATTTGGATTCGCATTTCCACCTGATCTTAAAGCTCTTCTCTCCGCCGGCTTGCCGGTGGGTCCTGGTTTTCCCGATTGGCGTTCCGCCGGATCAGCACGACAACAGCTACGCGCCACCCTTGACCTCCCTATCGCCGCCATCTCCTTTCATATCGCACGAAACGCATTGTGGTCGAAGTCGTGGGGTCTCCGGCCGACGGAGCCCGAAAAAGCGATGAAGATAGCGAGAAACGCTCTCAAACGGGCGCCGCTACTTGTGCCGGTTTTTAATCACTGCTACATTCCGTGCAACCCGTCGTTGGCCGGAAACCCTATTTTTTACGTCGACGAAAATCAGATTTTTTGCTGTGGTTTTGATCTGTCGGATTTCTTCGACCGGGAGAAATCGACCCTGTTCGCAAAGTCCGACCCGCAAAACCTTATGAAACAACGATCCGTTAACGAAAAATCCGGCGGAACTTTATCGAATATCTCTCGACGGAGTCTTGACGCGGTGGCCGGAGGGAGAACGCCGAGATGGGTCGAGTTTTGGAGTGACGCCGCCGTGGACCGTCGGAAAAGAAACTCAAACTCGTCCAACTCATCGTCATCTTCGCCAGATAGGTATTTCGAAATCCCAAGATCCGGGATCCCGAAATGGGTCGACTCGTACGTACAGCAGATCGGGTCGGTTTTGAAAGAAGGCGGGTGGGCGGATTCCGACGTGTCGGAAATTGTGGATGTTTCCTCCTCCGGCTTCTTCGATGGCGAGATGGTGTTGTTAGACAACCAAGCGGTTCTCGATGCCCTTCTCTTGAAAGCGGATCGGTTATCCGAGTCGCTCCAGAAAGCCGGGTGGAGCTCCGAGGAGGTTTCGGATGCTTTCGGGTTTGATTTCCGGCAGGTTAAAGAACGTAAACCAGCGAAGAAAATATCGCCGGAGTTAGTGGAGAAAATCGGAAAACTTGCTGAATCTGTCTCCAAACGTTGACGGAGTTAGCGCCGGAGTTACCGTAACCGACAAACACGTAGATTCTTTTTTTAATTTTTTTTTTGAAAATACAAAATACGAAATGTATAATAAATTTCGTATAAAGAGAAAAAGGAATTATGACTGTTTACCACTAATTTTTTAATTATTAAATCCATTTACCCATACTTACTTACCCCAAAAAAGAAAAAGGAAATATTAATTATTATTATTATAATATATATTTTTTGTAAATTAAATTGTATTATTTATGGAGGTAGGTTGTGCGTTGTGTTTTGTAGATTGTACATATTAATTTATGTATGGAGTAGTAATAAATTAATATTAATTAAGAAATAATGGCACAGGTTTTGGTAATGTAAGAATGCACGTGTGGGGGGTCTTAAAAAGACGTTGTTAACATATGGAAATCGAAAAAGCAAACAGTGGGACACAACCCAATAACCACAACGGTGTCGTTTCATCATGATGTTGCTTTGGTAGCCGTGTGTTTTCACACTTTGATGCCCAAACCATCCTTAAATTTACGCCCATTTTTGGATTTTAAAAACGGCATATTAATAAGATAAAGCGTTTCTGTGGTTTTTTTTTTTAATATCTTTTAATAGTTTTATTAAGAGTTAGACATTGAATTATTAAGAGATGAATCTTATTTGGTAAAAAAAAAAGATGTCTTTTAATGATTTTAAAATCCTCTAAATGATTTTATATCATTTGTCTTTCTTAACCATTCAAAGCCTTAATTTCATTGTAAACAATTATATTTCATTTTGCATTATATAATAAGGGTTTCTTAGTTATTATGACCATTTAACTATTCAGCAACCGTTAAACAACTCTTAAGACTTAAATTTTGATTTTTTCAGTGGCAATAACAAATATCTAAAATCTTACACAAAAAATTCGCAATTTTTTGTTATTTAATTTTTAGGTTAAACGGTTTTTGGTTATTTAATTTTTAGATTAAACGGTTCATTTTGTGCTCTCAACAACCCTAGTCGAACACCAAAATTTCAGGACTGTCGAGAACACAAATCCAAGTGTAAAATTTTGAAGTTTTCCTAAAATTTTGGTTTTCGACTAGGGCTTTTCTCAAATCCAAGAGAGGTGTGTCTGTCCCTGCTGGTAAATATCCCTTATTTACCAACAATCTATTTTGATGATTTAAAATTTTATTTGATAAATAAAATGTTTTCTTTTAAAAATATTTATTTTGGAATGGAAAAAGCATTATTTTAAATGTTAATATCAAAGTGTTTCTTTATATTTATTAACATTTTAATTTGATGTATTTATAAATTTTGTGTGTTATTTGTTGGGAAAGATGCAGATTTGGTAGGGTTCCATGTTATCTTTCTCGTAGGACGTTATTTCGAAGGGATGACAGATATGATGAGTAATTTAAGTTTTTAGTCCTTGTACTTTGTTCAAAATTTATATTTTCGTTTTTATGGTGTTAAAATTGTAATTTTCATCTCTATATGATTTAAAATTTATTTACTTTTTTGTCTTTATGGATTCATTTATATTTTAGTTCTTCATATTTAAAAGTAATGTTTTGACCTCAGGCACGGAAATAGAAATGAACTGCGAACTATAAAAATGAAAACCAAAATTTTCAAACCACAAGAATGAAATTTATAATTTTTAACAAACCACAGGGATGAAAAACGTAACTTATGCTACATTCTTGCATTCACATCTTCTTTTTCTACCATTTTTCAAAATTATTTAAAAAACTATTTAAGTTTTTATATTGTACATGTGTTATCAGACCGGTTAACGTTGAGTTAGACGTTAAATTTTATGGATACGTCAATTACCAAGCACAAAATAATTTATGGGATCCGAAACACGATCAATCGGATGGTTGGACCACAAACTAGATTGAACCGACCATAAATCAAGTCTAAAAATAGACCATCTCAACTGATAAGTTTACAAGTTAGCTGAAATTGGTCCGTACTTTCATGGTTTTCGACCAAAAAGAAATAGAAAAAAAAAAGAATCGAAGATGTTAGATTTTTTTCCCTCTTTTTCTCACTCCAAAGAATCGAATATATTTATAAAATAAAGTGCATACATTGAACGAGAAAAATATATATTTATTGTTTTCTATTTTTCTCAACAAAAGAAGGCATACAAACACACTAAAGGGTCGTTTACTAAACGTTTATCTGGGTAAGCGCTTATCAAGTCACGTGATCTAACTGGATGAATATGGTAAGGACCAAGAATCTTACCTGGTTAGAGCGAAACAAGGACCAAGAGTCTTACCCGATAAGAGCGAGACAAGGACCAAGGGTCTTACCCGGTAAGTGAGGGTGACGACTCTTACCCCGGTAAGCGCTTACCGGGTAAATTGTTGCATACGATGTCGTTTTGGTGGACTAAGATCTTATCCATTAAGTAAATAATAAGGTTAGATTTTACCGGGTAAGTGTTTGGTAAACGTCCCCTAAAACTCTGATATACAAAAAAAGAATAGGTATTGTATTTCTTTGTTAATCCACCATCTATGACGAAATCGATCAATGTATCGATTGATTCCCTTGTTTTTTCATTCATCATTAACAGAGGTGGACTTAGAATTTTTTTAGTAGTGACACAATTTGATTATAAAAAATATGTAATTTCTTTTACATTATTACAAATCTGTTGGTTGGGTTTTAATATTTACATAGAAGAGATCCATGTTCGAGTCCACTCTATATATATATTTTCAAAATCACAAAAGTTATATAAAAAAAAGGAACAAATTTGACACCAAAATTAAAAATCTTGTACTAATATTTGAGTTTCAGAAATTATATGCTCGCACCCAGCAAAACAATACAGTGACATCCTTCATAAACGTAATTTTTCTTTACGACGGAACCGTGAAGGGTGGTCCATGCCACAGTATCATTGCATGTGGGTCTACTTGGCTTTGGTCGGTTTCTTCTCTGTTATGTCTCTTTGTGATTCAACGGAAATTCTTTTTTATTTTTAATAAAAGTTTGTTGCGTACTAAATTTATTGAATATTTGTTGAAAATTTAAAATAAAAAACCTATTAGAAACGAATGTAAATTGTATTAAAATTTTGAGTTATGCTTATTTAATTTTAAAAATTATTAACGGTACCGTTAGATTCAATATGTTAGAGCAATCATTTTGACCTTATCAAACTTGGCATAGAAGATATTCAAGCTTGAAGACCTTTGTACAATAAAAGCTCGACTCATTTGTTATAATGCTATAGTTGAAACTCGACGTTTATCACTTAACCAACATGCAAACGATCGTAAGAAAACTAGGATGTTTTGGCCGTTCTCAAGACTCCATCAGATACGTAGAACCTTATTAATTTTTTTTTAACATTTTGACCTCTCTGTAAAATACGTATCTGCTACTTACGATGAAGTGACATTTTGACGATCGTAGAAAAAAAATGACTATTTGAATTAATTTTCCAGATATTTGGTGGATTTATAAAAAAGATTACAAAATGTGTAGTGGAATCAATAGTAATATAATAAAAAAGGGCATGATGGGTAGATCCGTCCAAAGAATAATAAATGGTGCAACGGTTGAATAGGAGTAGTTAGCAAGTGAAGCGACCGTTGGTTCTGAGTCACGTGCATTGCTCTGGTCTTCATGTGCTTCTTCCACCTCCCCTATCCCTTTCCCATTTAATTCATTCTCCTCTCCCACCATCCGATCATTTCCATATCTCAAAACATTTCATCTTAATTTCCTACACGGGTTCAAAGGGTTGTTTACTGAACAAAGATGAGCGTATTAAAAAAAAAAATCATATATTACAAAGTTTATGTTGCTCAAAATCATATATATACTAGAAGGGTACTCGCGCAATGCAGCGAGATACATCTTCGTTTTAATATTTCATTTTATTCTTCATCTCAATCGATGTTATAGTATGATTTTATATGATTTTGAAAAATCGATGATGTTTTTATTTTTAAGTAAAATATAAACTTGAAGATATCATAAAAATTTAACAAAAATATATCGATAATAGTATCAAATTAAGTATTTAAAATTTCTATTTTTTGTGTAGTTTTTTAATTAAAATTTTTTATTATAATTTAATTTATGTTCAATAACAAAATAATTTATATTTGGTTTAATAATATAATTTTCTTATGAAGATAATAATTAATTATTTTGTTAGAACTCGATAATTATCTTAATTATATTTTAGGTTTTTTATATTTTAAAATGAGATGTTTATCCTCTATTTGATTATGTTTATCTACAGTTAATTACATGAATTCAAACATGAAGCTTTAATAAGTTGTACTTATTTATAATTTACTTGTAATATTGAAATCTAAGTATTATGCATCAATATACAATACTTCATGCATAAAAAATTGTTTTTAAGAATTTTTGTCAAATGCTTTATAATATAGTATATATATATATAGAAAACGAAAGAGAGAGAGACAACCCACGTCATTAGCATAATCCATATAAATTTTTATTTATATCAGTTAACTCCACCTTATACTCAAATTCTTATTTATTACATGGTGAAATTATAAACTCTAGATTAAAAATTTAAAACAACCGAAATAAAATGACTACCATTCTAAACACAATATCCCCCTTTTGTATAAATATAATTACATTCTTTAAAAAAAATATTAATATTTGTGTAATAATCAAACATTAAAAATGTTTTTTTTAATTGTGAAATAAAATCAATATTACTATATATATATTTCAAACATAAGCTTATTAAAACGTTGCATTTTATTAAGAGAACCCGACATGCTATATTCTTTCCGAATAATATATGATAATAATTATATGAAAAAAATTAATTCTAATACAAAAATTATCTAATTTTTTTTAATTTCACTAATAATTTTTTTTTGAAAGGCAAAAAGGAAGAACAAGGAGGAGAGCTTCGACATGACCATCATCCTCAACGAGCCAACCAATATATTAAAAAGACAAGATCCAGCAACCAACATACAAGCAAGAACAAAAAAAATAAAACCGTGCTGCCCCAAACAAAAGACAGAGGCAAACCCGACAAAGAAAGAGACTAAATAAGATAAGGAGAGGTAGGCCAACTATCTCAATTGAGATGAAATTTACGGTTCCTGTTGCCCATCCA